GTTTGAGTATAGGAAGAGAATGATTTTTACATGATAAATGAAGAACTGTTGATCCATTTGAAGTTTTAGCTGATACGTCACACTGAGAAAGACTAGTGAGGTAGAGAACTATAGCAATATGTCCTTTCTGACATGCTATGTGAAGGAGTGTAGAGTGAGTATCATCTCTAGGATCAGTGACATTAATATCAAATGAATAATTGTTTAAAAAATGTTTTAAACAATACAAACTGTTAAAAAGTGTCGCAGCCAAAAGTAATACACCATTCTTAAATGAGGATACATTGATATGATACTCTTGTCTGAGCCATTCTAGTATATGAAAATGTCCAAATCCCACTGCAGCTTCTGGTGATGATGATCTGCCAAATATTCTTGGATTAAGGTTGTATTGTTTTATTAATAATTTTATAAGATCAAGATTACCAGAAAAACATGCCCTTGTGACACAAGTTAAGTGATTTTTATGCTTAGTAGTGACATCACATTTCATTACATCAATTAGAAATGTAACTAGTTGTATTACACCACTACCACAGGCATAATGAATTGGTAGAGCATCAATATCATCAGTAGTATGTAATAGACTAGTATATTGTGAATAATTATTAACAATATATTTAATAAATGAAAATTGACCATTCAATGTAGAATAATGAAACACATTCATGTTTCTTGCTCCACCTAATCTATCCAAATCACATCCACAATCTTTTACTAAATACTCTAACACATCAATAGCGCCAACTTCAGCTGCAAAATGAACTGCTTGCATACCGTCACCAGCTTTAACTTGAGGATCTAGTTTAAATTCATTAACTAATAATTTAATTAATGATAGTTTAGTAATACGTACTGCTTGAAATAATTCAAATGATGTGAGAGGCAATTGATGATTATTAATGAGGTATTCGACTAGCTTCATGTTACCACTCTCAGCACTATGAGTCAATGCATTCCATTTATTGTTATCTGTTATGTTAATGTCACTGTCTTGTACTTCAATGAGATACTGACTGAGATCAATGTTACCCTGACGACATGAATAAAGAAGAGGTGTTCTACCTTCATTACAGGTTATATTAATATCAATGTCAGTAGTATTTCTAATATATTCTACTGCATTGATGCTACCTGCCATACAAGCTAATGCTAATGGTACTACACCTTTATAGTCTGGTTGACTGGCATTCAAGCTATACTGAGATACAGTATAACTGAGTAGAGTAGGTGAACCTGATAAAGCAGCATAATGTACTGCAGACCGACCCTCATAATCTAATGAACTTGTATTAATACCATACTCCTCTAATACCTTCACTAATAATATACTACCACTAGTACATGCTAAATGAACCAATGATTGACCAGTAGCAGTAACAGAATTTATATTAAAATTATTGATAAAACTTGCCTTCTTGAAGAGTGTAGACAAAAGGCTCACTCTTTTATGCTGTTTAGTAACATTTATACTTAGAGAAATGTACCTTTGGAGGACTTTTATGTTTTCAGTCTTAAATGTAGGAATTTGATTCAGTAAAGGTATATCACATGGTGCAGTGAGCTTATTATACACTTCTGTAATGCAGTATTTATCAACCAATCCATTGCATAAGTAATGAAGAGAGGAGCGACCACTATAATCAGCTTCTAGTAATACTTTATATCCAAAAATACTTGCCATTTTCATGATGAAACCTGATGAAGCATACTGGCATGCTATATGGAGTGGTGTTGCACCAAAACGATCTCTTTTCTGAAATAATTCACTTTTATGATTATCATTAAGATACTCTAGAAGCTCTACACTATCACTCATAGCACAATAATGTACTATCCCACATCCGTTAAAATCTATGTCATCTTCTGAAAAAATATCAAACTGCTTAAGCTGATCGACTAATGCTACCTGTCCACTCTTACATGCTAATAATGATAAAGTGGATCCTTCTCTATTCACCTGAGACACATTACACTTCTTCTTTAAAAACATAATCACGAGGTCAACGTGACCACCCAGTGCTGAGTAAAGCAATCCTGTGTTACAAGAGCTATCTGCTATGTCTGGATCAACGTGACATTCATTAACTAGATACTGTGCAATATTGAGATGGCCTTTATATGAGGCCATGTGTAAACTAATAACACCATCATCATCACCTTGTGAAAGATCGCAATGATAAACATCAATGAGGAGACAGAGGACATCAATGTGGCCACCATATGAAGCAGCTAACGATGGACTCCATCCATTTTTTCCTTTTTCCTGAAGGCCAGTCTTGTCAATCAATTGTGGTACTTCATCTTTTAATCCTCTCCAACATGCTTCATTCAATGGAGTGCTGGTATTCTCATACCAGAGAGGATCATAAATATCTATATAATATATCATAAATAAAGTTAATAAAGACAATATTTACCAATAGGAAAATCATGAAGCTTCTTTAATTCATTTTCTGGCAACTATAGTTATAAAAAGGATATATAATTAATATTGATCAATGATCATATTTATTAACTAACATACCTGCTTCATGTCATGTACATATTCATGACAAGTTATTTTTATGATTCCAATCTCAGCCAATGAATCACACTGTTGATTGGTTAATGGAAAGAGAACAGGATAAAGAAAATCGGGAATGGAATATTTTAATACCATGCAGCCATTTTGAATTGTACAAAAATAAAAATTATAATCTGGAACTTCAAGTGCATCAGCGATTAGCTTGTGAAAGAAATATAAATCATTTAATGTGTAGTCATCTCTGGCAACCTTAGCAGTCATTACTTTAGTGCCTGGAACATCACAAAGACCAAACTCAATTGAGTCTGCAATTTGAACTGCTTTAGTATTGTTATTTTTAAAATAATCCTTTAGTTTCTCACGATATGTAGACCACTTCCTCTGTAAATCTCTATCATCAGTAATGAAAGTATTGATTAACTTAACAACAAGTTCGAAATTGAACCATGAGACGTATTTTTCCAATACCCTAAACAGCTGCTTCATTGTTTTTAATTCATCAAAGTCATCTCTCATTGATTCGATTATTTGACGTTTACGAAAACGTGGACTAAGTAAAGTTGCAATATATGACTGGATGTGATCAACAACTTCTGAGAGATCAAGAGAATGAAAAGCCATTTTTGTAAGATGCATATTGTCAATAAAATCATCTTGTAGATCTTCTATCAACCGGGTTAGGCCATTAGTTGCAGCAAAATGATTCAATTTCTTAACATATGATGGCTCAGACTGAGTAGGAACTGGTAGCTCAACAGTTGGAGTAGCTTCAGAAATAATAAATAAAAATGATTATTGATTTATCATATTCTATTTACCTTTTGAAGGTGAAGTATGAACTGGTGATGTAGTAGCCTCTCCACTAACAGTAAGATTAAATTCTTTTGCTATTTCATCAGCTAGGGCTGGATCAGCTCCTCCACTATTACTTTTAATGGAGTGACACAATATTCTTAATGTAGGGACACCATGACTCTTATAGTCATAGTCCTTCTTTAACCAGCAATCAAATACTTTTTGTAGACAAGTTCTTGGTGGTTTGCCCCCTGCTTCAATCTCATATAACTTGTTGTAGCTGATTCCTAACAGAATACCAATAGAGTCCCAGCGTCCTGAAAGAACACCAGCTTTTTCCCACACCAGTCGAAAATCACTAATATCTATCATTAATAATACTAATAAAACAATTATTATGAATATCTACTCACTAAGTTCTCTTTCAAAGGCTCTTTTCAGCTCCTCTGCTTTGGTTGACATAATGACATTTCACTATAAATGTCAGCCCTGCCTGCCCATTATTTTGACTTCCGGTGGCCCTGCTGCAGTGGTTGGTGCAGTAAGCTCCAGTCTACATAGTACATGATGGAGAGGCCAACTGAAGCAGTAGATCCGACCAATTCACTACTTGTATTTCCTAGTAATACATCTTCTACTCCTCCAGCAATTATGATGACAGCAGCATCTTCTGTGAGTGTGCCATTACAAGAAGAATATTTGTTTGTAGCCTGAACAAGAGAGTAACTAGATCTATAACAATGAACTATCTGTTTTATGTCTTCAACATACAATTAATATTACCAATATTTATTATTATCTGTTTTAAGCTCAATGTATGACATTTTGTCATTTGTATATATATAACTTTATTTTGGTGTGCAGCATAATCTATTACAGCATGCATGGAGTCACTCATAGCAACAAAAACACTCAAATCAATATCAAATGGGGTCTTGATCATCTCATCTCTCATAACTTGACCATGTTGACTCTCACATTATAAACCTGATAATCATTTGCAGTATAATCATAATGACAATTTTTGTTCAGTTACTGTTTCCAGATAGTTATTTCTTTTCTTGATCAATGATTGTACAAATAGTTGAGTTCTCTCAGCAGCATATTGACTAATGAGTTCTTCTAGTACTGCTTCTGATAGTTCACCTTCTCCTCCTCCTCCTCCTCTTTCTTTATAATATTGTACTAATGCA